CTGTTGACTGCCTCAGTGTCCATCAGGAGGTACATCCTCTCTGCTCCACATCATCTCTGATTTTAGCAACAGAAATTTTCCCTACCTGCTCACCACTGACTGCCTCACTTTATCTCTAAATGGTCATTCTGTTCTCTACAGATGAGATCAACTCTTACACCCAACATTTCCCTTCATCTACATCACCCATTTTCTCTTCCTGACGCCCCAAGTTTCCATTCCATCCCTACACATTCCCTGAGTGTTTCCCTCCCAAGCATCCTTCTCTTCTTCCCTGTTTAATAACTCACACTCCAGCCCCAGGCTCTCCACTCCCCCCTCAGTGGGACCCCTCCAAAATGCCACCTCCCTCCCCTCTGCAGCACCTCACCTTTTCCTTCAGAAACACTCGCTGGGGCCCCTCGAAATTACCCCAAGTTGGCAGCTACAAATGTCACCTCTGTCCCTGCCATGTTATCCCAGGTTTCCCCAGCTGGGAGCTGCAAGGAATTCAGGCCAGGGAATGGACAGCAGGGAACAGCTGTACATGCAAAGGCAGAAAGAGAAGGTCTGTCAGTAAAAGGCACAAAGAAGGGGACAGGCTTCAGAAAACATTTCTGCAATCCAATGAATAACTCTTTCCAGTTTCCCAGGGAGAAGAACAGGAACTCACAGCCACCAAGGCCTGACAGTCCCCTGCAGCCAGAGCTCAGCACACACCCAGAGAGGCAATTCCAGCATCTAAAAGGAAAAAAAAGAACAAAAAAAGTGATTTATTTTGTTTTAAAGTTACTATAAGTCGTTCCAAGCAAAGCAAGCCTTGCTCTGGTTTCAGCTGGGTGAACAGGGAGCGCTGGGCACAGGGCACGTCATTAATGCCCAGGGGATGGGGCTTTGTGGGGGAAGAGCAGCTGATGGAGTTGCCCAGTCCAATTTCTGCCCAAGGCCTGACTGGCCCAGGACAAACCCTCTGGCAGGCAGTGGGTTTGTTCCCTCTCATGGTCTGTGCCCAGTGTGTCCCTGTGGGCAGTGCCAGGCTGGGGACAGGCACACGCAGCTGGCAGCACTCCCTGCCCCAAAGACACTTCTGGCTTCCTTGGAAACTGCCTCTGACACTTGGTTTTCTCCAGCAGAAATTAAGGAATTGCTCATGGCAGTTTGGAGATGAAGTTCTCCCAAAGGGAAGGAAAGAACAAATATTCCTGTCAGAGCCCTTGGAATCTGCTGGGCTGAATTGGGAAGGGCCCCTTATCTGCAGAGCAAATACAGGACAACCTCAAACACAAAGCCCAGCCTGTCCAGTGGGGCGTGAAAGCAGCACTGGGACAAAACTCCACTCTCCTGATTCTTTCCAGGGGCTGCTCCAACCCAGCTCTGAAGCTGCCAAGCCCAAACTGTCCCCAGCGCTCTGGAACAACAGGATCTTCCCAGGGATGATGCATTGGAAGCACAGCCCTCATTCTCACCCTCCACATGCTCCCAGGCTCACCCCAAATTCAGGACAAGGGGCCAAAGGCCCCTCGGGCCGGGGCTCTCTCTGTCTCTGCGGGCTCAGGGACTGCAGCCACCAGGGCCCTCCAGCACGGACAGTCTGGACCCAGAGCAGATCCCTGGGCATTGGCAGTGTCCTGGGCACACCTGGAGACAGAAACCATCAGCCTCTGGGACAGCACTTCCTTGCCAGCACACACAGCCTGCCACATTTAGGGGGGCAGCTCTCGGAGCACAAAGCCCAGTCTGACCCAGTTCTCCTGGGCACCAACACGGACTCCACAGACCCACAGGAATGAGAATGTTCTGCTGCTTTGACAAACTTCAGCCCAGCTTTGCAAACCTCAGTCCCTGCAGCTCCCTGCTCTCCAGAGCCCCGTTCAGGGCTGGCTCCAGTTCCCTGGAGAACCTGCCCCAGCCCCACTCTGGGCCAGCCTGAGCAGAAGCCACTGGGCTGCACAAGGAAGAACCCTCCCCTGGCTGCTGCAGCTGGAGGGAGATCCAGCTCCCAATGGAAGGCTGGGAACAGCCTCCCAGATGGTCTCTCCCCAGCCCTTGGCAGTGGCTCAGAATGGCAGCAGCTCCAGTGCCAGCTGGGTCCCTGCACGAGTCCTTGTCCCAGCCCTGCCCCACGGACACACACGGGAGACACCCACGGGCGCACAGGCCTTGCCTGCACAATTCCTCACCCACAGCTGAGGGAAAGCCACACAATAGTAAGAAATACCCTGGGCTGAGAGCACTCATCACTCCAGTCCATCAGGATTTGGGGGGAGTTTGGTAGGTAACAGACCCAAATTCTAATCCTACCTCTAAATTTCTAACAGGTTCTCTTCGAAAGATCCTGGACAGGAACTCAGACAACAGAACCCAAACACTGCACAAGCAATAACAGAAGGTTTGCCAGGAAGAACAGGAGTTCCTTGTTTTCCTTAACACCCTGGGACTGTAGGACCCAATCTTTGCAACCAAGGGACACCAGAGATGTGATTAATACTTAAACCTCTCCCCCATGGTTCTGTCTCAGAGAACTGGACCAGCCCTGAGCTACTCCCAGGTGCCTGCAGTGCTTTGGGGAGGGGCAAGACAATGTCCCACTTCTGCTTGGAAACATTCCAGATGAGGAAAAGCCACTTCCCTTCTCTCTCTCTGACCCAGAACCAAAGCAGTCCTGTGGGACAACATGGACTATGCACGGAAGGCCTGAGTCAGTGGGGGGAAAAAACCCTAAACAAACCAAACCACCCCAAATTTCAAGATAAAAACAGGCTGCTTCCTTAACAGGAGCACACCAAACTCATTGAAGCCAGAGAGGAAATTACAAACAAACAAACAGAAGACCCAAAGAGATGCTTTGCACTGATACACTCTCTGGTTGATCATTCCAAAGGAAATTCTCCACAGATCAGAAGCAAGTACCAATACTTTGTCCTCTATTGAAAATTAATGACTTGAGGGGCTGGACATGTCCAGTGTGGGTTCAGGGGTCTGGTGTGTCCTTTATGGCTGATCCTGACCAGCCCAGGCCAAACCCAACCACCCCCATGGCTGCTCCATCCCAAACCCGGGGACAACATTCAGACAGTCTGGAAACACTCCCCTTCCCTGCTACTCCGTCCTTCCTTACACATCCAGTGCCCAGGGAGCAAATGCCAACAGCAGGAGGAGAGAAAGGTGTCCCTCTGACTTACCCCCCCCCACGGGCAGCACCAGGAGCCCCCAGCCCGGCCGGCGGGGCTGCAGCCTCTTGCCTTTGGCTGCTCCCAGCCCAGGGCACTTGGCAGAGCTGGGCTGGATCAGGGCTTTGGCCTGGCCTGGAAGAGAGGAGAACAAGGCAATTAAGGGCACTGGGCAAGTCCAAGGCTCCTGCCCTTCACTCTTCTGTTCAGTTGCTCACTAGAGAGTTTCAGCCATGAAAAATCCAGGGGGGACAACAAATAAATGAGACCTTTTCCAGCATTTTCATTCCTATCTGTTTCAGGCATTAAAAGGAGGCTCATCTTTCTTACTGCATTCCTTGTCCCATTTGAACAGAACCCTTTTCATTCCAAACCTCCTTTGGGACTCAGTCAATCCTCTGCCATTGGGCTTTGGACAAAGGAAGAGACATTTGGGATGATGGACTCCAGGGAATCGGGGAAAGAAACCTGATAGGAAAAGGTCTCATGGCACTCCAGAACTCAGAAATGTGTTCATGCCTTGCCAGCCCACCCCCATTCTGTGCCACCCACCTGAGCTGGGCAGGTGAGGCCAAGGCTCCCCTTCCTCCTGCCAGTCACTGTCCCAGCACACGGATCCCCGGGCTGGGCAGCACTTGGGAAAACTTGGGAAAGGCAGAAGGGAAATGGCACTGCCTGTCAGAAAACAAGTGTCTGTGACATGTACACCTTCTGGACAAATGTAATCACATCCCTCTGCTCCAATAAACCCGGGGCAGGCAGGTCTCTCCAGCCCAGGGAGAAGAGGAAGGAGAACTGCAGGATCACAGGCAGGCATGGGCAGCTGTTGGCACTGATTCCCTGCAGACCTCTCTGCACTTGGGGCTCTTGGCACTTCAGTTCTAAGGAATGGGGGGGCAGCAGCCCAGGAATGCCCCTCAAAAACAGGGGCCTGGGCAGCTGGAGATCATAGGAGGGGAGTTGTGAGGGGAGACACAGAGAGAGAACAGGAACAGGGGTTGTTTGGGAACAGGCTGTGTGTCCAGCAGGGAGGGGAACTGGAACCACGGGAGGCTGGAGGAATGCAGGGGGGGAGCACGGGCCTGCCTTGGATGGATCCTTTTTCCCTTGGCTCAGGGGCCTCAGCTCCACCCTCTCTGAGAGCAGCAGGGAACTGCTGCAGGGGAAGAGCTCATTTAGGCACAAGCCAGTGATGCAGCCACTGGGGCAGGGGAAAGGAACTGACAGAAAATGACACAATCACCACTGAAAGGGACTTTATTGAGCTGCAACACAAACACAGTCACAGCAGGCCAGGGCAGGAGGTGCCCACAGCACCACCACCACAGCAGCTGGGCTTGCAGGAACACCCTCTACTCAAGTTATGGAGCCAGGAGCTGACAGTTGGGATCCATCCTAAAGATGCACTCAGGCATCAGGGCCAAGTCCTGCCCCATCACTGCAGACAGTTCAGCCCCAGCAGCAGTGGCATTTTCTGCCTCTCCCTCCAATATTATTTGGGACCCAACAGCTCAAGGCTGTGGAATTTTAGCTCCATAAATGTTTTACAAACTTGTACTTCCTGAGAACTGGTGCATTTTTGAGTATTCCTGACTCTTCCAGGGCTGCACCTGCAGGATCCTTTGGGCCTGGTGTTTTGCTGACAGGCAGGGCACTCCAGGAAACAACTTCCCACCAGTCATGGAAGAATAGGAACAGCTTAAACAAACCCAATCCAACACATGGGATACAGATTTAGGGGATACAAAAGGAAAGGAGCAAGGCATCCCCTCCTGACTGCCCCAGAGACAGAACTGTGGCTCAGCAGAAATCCCTCCCCCACGGCCCCTCCCGCTCCCCCCCAGCCCACACGGCAGCCCCGGGGCAGCCGATCCCGCAGGCTCCAGCACTGGGACAATTCCTGCGGGTGCCTCCACCCCCGGGGAGGCTGCGGGGCGGCTCCAAGGGGATCCCGCTGGCCAGGCTCTGCCCAACCAAGCCGGCTTTAGGCCAGGCCTGGCACTGTGGGGCCGTGGGCACGGGCAGGTTGGCCTGAGCTCCCCGTTGGCCACCCCTGGAGCGCTGGGCAGGCGCCCCGGCGGGGCCAAGGGGAGAGGGCACGGAACGGCTGCACACACCTTGGCTGCCTTGGCCCAGCACACACTCACTGCACCTGCAGCCTTTAGCCAGGGCCCCTGAGCACACACAGCCCTTACCCTGCTCCTCAGGGGCAGCAGCCCCGGGGCTCAATTCGCAGCCAACTTCTCATCCTTTCCTTTGGTCCTTTGAGCCCTGGGCAGGGCAGAGACACGGGAGAAGCACCTTCCTGGCATTGATCCCAGAGACAGCAACTCTGTTGTTCATAAAGTCAGTACAATAATTACTGGGATTAGTGGATGGATTAAAGTGTTCCAAAACTTTGTAGCAGGTGGTGAGACTCCTGTAAATACGTCCCAGCAGTGGGGAGCAGTGAGCTGTTCTAACCTGATGCCCAAAGCTCACTAATTGACCCCTAGAGTTACTGTTTGCATTTGGTGATCAAGTCAAGTCTTATTTCAAATTTGCAGGGCAATAATTTGCACTTACATACAAAAATCCCTGGTTTACTTACATTGAAGTGTGTTATTTTTCCAGCACGATATCAGTCGGTGCACTGCAGCAATTCAGGAGACAACAGCCAGTTAATTTTTGCAATCCAGGATGGGAATACAGTCCTCCAGCTCAGTTCATTGGTACCCATTAAGTCATTCTGTGCCTTATTTCTTTGTATTACAATATACACACTATGGCATGGACTACTTTTGCCTCCCCCCGTCGTGACTCTGGCACGGGTTATCTGCTCCTGCTTTCCAAAAGTGCCTCCCCCTGATAGATTTGGCTGACCCAGCAGTGAGCCATGCATGCTCCCTCTCTTCTCCCAGCACTTGCTTTGGGGCTTTGCCCCATTGCCCCAGTGATTTGTGCTCACTGTCCAGGGGATCTACACCTGTTGCTTAAACCACAGGGCCGTTGGCAACTCCCTCACGAGGCCTCGCTCCTGCCCCGACCCCTGCTCTGGCTCTGGCTCGGATACACCATCTCCATTTCATGGGGCTGCCTTCCTGAGCATGGCCTGGCCTGTGCACCCTGGAGGAGCTTTTGACCCAAGGCCTTAGGGGGACTTCAGGCCCTCTTATCATTTGTTGTTCCCACTAAAGCCCAATAACGTACTCAGAGCCACTTCTCCAACAGGGTCGATCTTGGGCTGGCTTCCAGTAACTTCCTATTCCCAAATCCTAAGGGCACTTCCTTCCTACCTGGAACAGTTCGTTGGGATACATGCCCAGAATAAAGACAAGTGCCACAAACATTCAAACACACAAAATATCTTTATTGCAGTGAGAAGAAGAAGAATAATAAACTTAGCAAAGAGAATCAAAAGTTCAAAAAGGATACAAATGAACTACCTTGTCATGTGGCATTAAAACAAATACTAAGAACAGCATTCAATACACTATAATAATAACTAGTAAAAAGGGAGTCAAAGGGATACCAAAAAGGATCTTCACACAATATTATGGGTAACTATTAACACGCTATTTGGTTAGTAAAAGGGGAAATTAAAGGGAAAATATTATGAGTCCTAAATAAAGGGTATTAAAGGAACACTAAAGGATATTTAAAGTCTTCCCATCACTAAACTCTGCCTACCCACACAGACAGGCCAGGGCTGTCAGGATCTGCAGCAGCTGGTCGGTGCCCATCCCTTAGCGGGCGTCCCCGCGGAGCAACACAGGCTCGGTGGCAGGATGAGGATCGCTCAGCTCAGCAGTCCTGACAGCCCATTTTTATCAGCTCCACATTACACCACGT